CATAAAGAGAGTGCTAGCCAGATAAGTGTTGCCCCTTTTGAGTACAATAAGAGTGAGAATTAGCGTATACATTCATAAAGAAATTTTAAAAGGATTTCTTTCTAAATAAAATACTATTTTCTTTGGTATTTAAACTCTACATATTCTTCATTGAATTGGACGTCTTTGAATTACAACCTTACACATTACTTTTCAGCAGAAAGTGTCAATAATTGGAGTAGAAATGATTGTGAACAGGGACTGAATAGAATATTTTTTTTAAAAAAATAAAAAAATCTCTATTTTGACATTATTTTTAATTTCAAGACTTGAAATCATTTAGATTATAATTACAAGATATTCGGTTGTTCCCCAATTTAAAAAATCATGTTAATTTAGGTATTTTCCATTGTAATATTCAAGGCACAACAAAACAATTTCCATTAATTTAAATTGTCATAAATAGTAGCGACAGAAAACGCGAACATTGTAATATTCTTTCTCTCACAAAATATTGCGATTCATTTTGATTTCAAAAAATACGGTCAATGAAATTGATAATACATAAAGCAAAAATGAGACCGTGACACGGGGTGACGGCTAGAATGGGATGTTTCAATTTAATACTTAAATTAATTACAAAAGATTTTGTTACGTTAGAACTTTTAATACATATATCGATGATTAAAATGATATAATGAAAAATAATTCATATAGTCGAATTCAATTGGATCAAATACTTTTTTAGTGGAGACTTTGTTTTGCCCATTCAAACTATGAAATAAATTATATATTTGGCTTGCTTTCGGCAAATATTAATATTGAATTTGCATGGCTACCATAAACTATACATATAAAATCCAAAAGCATATATAGAAACTAATTTAATACTGATTTTTTTATTATGGAAAGGTGATTAAAGACAAGTTTCATGATCTTTCGGTATTCAGGTTGAGAATTCTCTTTTCAACTCCTTTTCTTAAGGCATTATACGAATCCTATTCAATACTTTTGTTCCCATTAATTTTTGTGAACCAGATTTGAACTCCATTAAGCTGACC